TCGGTCAATGAAGCGTGTCATTTTTATTTATTTTTTTTAGAGTCTGTCTCAAGTATAACAACATAAATATTTTAAATATATTATCTTGTATTATTAACCCTCGCATGACCATTGAAAAAATTTTTAAAATATCAGCTCAATTACGAAGAATTTCTCGATCGAAGAAGTAAAAAAAATAAGTTCGGCCGGGCCAAACTTTTAATACCCTCCACCTTAGGGTAAAGGAAACATTAGAACCCATTGTGTCCCACAAATACCAATTTTTAGATAAATACGTGAAAAAATGTGGCAAAAATCATCAAAATACGGAATATCTGGAGGTACCGTTATATGGGGTCTATACCAAAACATGGACCTGTACATACAATGTTTCGCCACCACAGCCAGAACCCATTGTGACCAACAAATACCAATTTTTAGACAAATCCGTGAAAAAATGTGACAAAAGCCATCAAATTGCCGCATATCAGGAGGTACCACTATATGGGACCTATACATGTAAAGTTTTGGCACCGAAGCTAGAACCCATTGTGTCCCACAAATACCAATTTTTAGACAAATACGTGAAAAAATGTGGCAAAAATCATTAAAATACAGAAAATCGGAAGGTACCGTTATATGGGGACTATATCAAAACGTGGACGAATATATCTCATTTCCAATACCAACCATCCTAGACACAATACAAATTATTGTGCTAAATTTTGACGCTCTAGGTCAAATAATGCTGGGCGGAATGTCAAAGTTAATATATCCTCCTTTCCAAGGTGGAGGGTATAAAATGTCTTGCCAAACGAAAATATGGTTCAAAGGCTCTTTTAGTAAATTTACAATGATAGATATCTAATTTTCAATAACTATCAACTTTACACTAAACAATATTGTTTTTATAAAAGATATATTGACAAATGAAGAAATTATATAACTGCTCCAAACTTCGTGCATCTTAATATTATAGTCAAGATGGGTAGCATAGGTCCACTCCTTCTGATACCCCCATCCCCCCTCACAAAAGGTCAAAATGTTTACGAAAAATAATTTTCCGTATAAAACAAAAACGAATCATTCAATTTTGGTCAAATTTCGCAGAGCCCAATATTTGTATGAGTGCCTTGTCAACTGCGAAAATAGACAGTATCCATCAAGTGCCTCAAAATTTCTGTCTCAAGTGCCTCAAATAATACTAATTAATATAAAATATGAAATAAGCATCCGATTCTCCTTATATATCTATACCGGGTGTGAAAATGAAATGTATCGGCCCACCCCTTCTGGTATCTCCCCCACAAAGGGTCACAATTTTGCGTATTTATATTTCTTATAATTTGCGAAACAAGTTAGCGATTCTTTTAAAACTTGATAACCTGAGACCTGATGTGAATATAGAATTCATCGGCTCACTCCTATTGTTACCTACCCACAAAAGGTTTATATTTAGACTAATTATTCCCATAAACTTGGAAATAAATTTTAGATGCTCATCCCAATATATAAAATCTGTGTATATTTTTTTTTTTTTTTTGACATCACGAAATTGGGAAGGAAATGTCGATCTATTTTTCTTGTGGCGTATAACTCATTAACAGCAATGAGAGTATCTGATTCAGTATAATAATTGCACATCGTAATATTTATACCCTACACCACATAGTGGTAAGGGTATTATGTTTTTGTGCATTTGTTTGTAACAGTGAGAAGGAAGCGAGATAGAGCCATAGTCATTTTTGAGGACATTCATAGAATCACTTTCTGAGTCGATTTATGCATGTCAGTCCGTCCGCCCATCCATGTATTCTTGAGAATAAAATGAAGTCGCATTTATTATCCGATTGAGATAAAATTTTTCCAACAATATTTGTTTTGGCGAACCAGCTCCCCTGGGAACATTGGTGATCGGATCAGGTTTAGATATAGCTCCCATATATCTTCCACCGATTTCGGGCTAGTTGTGCACCAAATTACCAATGTAAGTCCTAATGTCCGAATTCAGTCTAGAAGCAAGTACATCAAATTGGGAGAAAATCGGTTCAGCTATAGGTATAGCTCCCATATATATGTTTCGTCCGATTTGGGATTGTGCCCCAAATAGCCAATACCAGTCCAAATGGCCTGTATTTTGGCCTATCCGACCGATATTACCTATTTATTTTTACCATATTAGAGGGTATTATAGGCTTGATAGCTCTGATATGTGTGACTAGGACAATTGATAGCGAAAATGCGCTATATAGGCCCATGTTTCGGTATAGTCCCCGATTTTAATTTTTTTTACCCACATTTATTCACAAGATTTTTTTTTGGGTCCTTATTCGATTACCGCGAACGTAAAAAAATAGTAAATTCTCGCTACTAACTCTTATTAATTACACTTTTAAGGTTTTACTCAGAATTCCCAACGAAATTAGCTGTAATTTCACACTATTGTATTCCAAAGTGTCCAAATTTGAGCAATGACCATAACTTTCAATTTGAAATATTTCGGAGGTTTCAATTGAATTTGAATAATCTTTGGTTTTTTCAAAGTTTTTGGCTTCAGTGTGTTGTTGGTTTAGGCATCCCTTATTAAGGATTAAGGAACATAAGTTCACTATATATAACACATCTCCAATATAACAGTACTTCCAATTTTTCGATTTTCCCAAGGATTTACATTGAATTTCTCTTTACAATTTTTTCGATATGTTAAAACCTTTTAGCTGAACCGAACCACATACAAGGTGGCGCAAAAGTAATCCTCCTATCAGAAAATGTTATAAATTTTACGATTGACCCCTAATGTCAGTTCTGTCTTGACATTTTTGTAGTAAACATATGCAAAACACACGTTAATAAATAATATTACGCTACACTGCTCAAGAACGCGGAATATTAGTAACTATTTATCTGGCCAATAATCGGTCGAGTGACCGTCCAACGTACACTGGGACTGAGACTGGCACAAAAAAAGATGCTGCCAGGCGTGGCAGACTCTGGAGTATCCGTTCTGCAGCGAATATTACACCCGCTAAAAGTCACTGTATGGTGTGCTGTTTTCGCTGGAGGAGTCATCGGATATTTTTTCTTCGTAGACGTCGCGGGCCAAACGGTTGCTATGAATGGAGAGCGTTTTTTTATACCCTCCACCATTGTAAGTTTGTCATTCCGTTTGTAAAACCCCGAAATATAAATTCTAGACCCCACAAAGTACATATTTTCTTGATCAGCATAAAATTATATGCCGATTTAGCGATGTCCGTCCGTCTGTCCATCTGTGGAAATCACTCTAGCTTTCGAATGAAAAGAAGTTGCTAAATTTTACTTAAATGTGTATAAGTCTGCAGGACTTTTGGTGTTGAAAATGAGCCATGTAGGTCCACGGTTTGGTATAGCACCCATATAATGGTACCTTCCTTTTTCGGTATTTTGGTGATTTAAGCGATATTATTCACCGGAAATGTTTCAAAATTTGGTATTTGAAGTTCGTAATGGATACTACAGCCCAAGACAAACAAAAATTGTCTGTGCAGGTCCACGTATTCATATAGCCCCCATATAACGGTACCCCCGAATTTCGGTACTTTGATGATTTTAGCGACATCATTATTGCCGTTTGAAGTTCGTAATGTCTGTGCAGGTCCACGTTTTGTTATATCGCCCATATAATGGTACCTCCCTATATTCGGGTTTTTTTGTTAATTCAGCTATATTATTCACCGATTTTTTCAAGTTTCGCATTTGTATATTGCAATGGCTTATTTCGAAAGTTGCATATGCAGGTCCACGTCGTCGTATAGACCCTAATATAACGGCTACATTCGGTATTTTTAAAATTTTAATAGAATTTTTAACGGATTTTATTTTTTTGAAAATTGAAAATTAAGTATTAAATTTTAGGATTATACCATCCAATAGAAGAAGATTGATAAATGCCTATTGCTCATTATGTACACGTGTTAGTAAAATTGGGACGCCCTTAGACATTTTATCTCATTTAACCCTCAAAATTCGTGCGATTTTCATAATATATAAATTATGTTTTTAAATGAGCTATTTCAAAATTTAACTCATCGAGATGAATGTTTTGAGATAAAAAAACAACAAAAATCACATATATTAATTTTTGTGTGGCTACTTTGAATGTGTTAGTATGAAATTTGGTCTTAACTTTCACCGAGCTACCAACCGACAGTTCATTTTTGACAGCGGTCGCTGTCAGACGAAGAGAAGAAAATTTAAAGGAAATTTCAATATTTCTTAAACAAAACTGACACTCGCACACACACAAAGACACTCAAAATGCAAATATGAGTATGATCAGCTAGCTAGCCAGTGTCGTATATGTATGTTATGTACAACATATTTGTTGTTTTTTCTACAAAAATAAAATGTTTGAGTTTGTTGTCATTGGTTTGTCTGAGTTGAGGTGGCGCACCAACAGGGGAAAGACGATCTGATTTTTGGTGGACGTTGGTGTTCATTGCTTCTTGGCATTTCGGTGTCCGCACAAAGCAAAATATGAATTGGTTGAACGGAACGGGCCAGCAGAACAAAAAAACAAATTGCATAATAATTTTCTTTGGCTCTTTCATAAGTTCAAAAAATAAGCAAAAGAAACAGAAAAGACCGAGGAGAAAAAAACATAATATTTTTTGTTCTTGGACGGTTCGGTGTTATATTTATACCACAACGGTTGTGGCGGCTGTCAGGCAAAGTTTTGTTATTTCTTTTCTACGTCCGACTATATTTAATGTTTGGGAGACAAGCAGAACGGTAGGTAGCTAGGCCAGCTAGAGATACGCATAAGGGATTTTGACAGCTTTCTTGTCTTTGAGACTGTCGTCGTCGTCATTGTTGTTGCAGCGGTGGCAGTGGCCAGCCACCAGCAAATGGGTATTTTTAAATTTCTTTGATTATATAATTGTGTGATGGTGGTATATTTTAATAGGGAAAATTAAATTATTAATTAATTTTTTTTGGCTTAATTTTTTAAATATTTCATAAAATAAAATTACAATTCTTACCCTGAGTAGAGACGGCGAATAACGTTAGTCCCAGAAGGAACCAAAAAGTAATTCGCCCCATAACAATTCACAATAAAACTCCAGTATCCCAGGAATCAGTTGTAGTTGAATGAAATGTTAGTACTTTAAATCACCTCATAAATTACTATAATTTATGTTTTATTTAAAATCTAAATTTATGTATTTATTTTTTATCTATAACACTCTCGTATTCTGTGGGAAAAATTAGGAAACAAAAAAATAAAACCACTTTTTAATTATTATTTTTTTTTTTTTCATTATTTAAAAATCACAAAAATATTTTTTAAATATTTTTTTATATAAAAATATTTATAAATTTTTATCACTTGGTTCGTTGTTCGTTTAAAAATCCGTTTAATTCGTCAAAAAATTTTAATTAATTTTAGCTCAACAATCGTTTTCTGGGTTAATCCTTTGGTGTCCCTTTCAACGACTGTTGTTACTAAAATAACACAAAATTATTTTTTCTTTTAATTTTTTTTTTTTAAATGAACGCAAGTCGTCAATTTATTTCTTTGTATCTCGAAAAACTTTATTTTACTAAATTGAAATTGCCACTATTTTCTTCTTCTCATTGTTTGCAATTCATTATTTTTTCTCATGCGTAATCTTTTCTTTTTTTAACTAGCTTTCTTTTTTTCAGAAATTTCTTCAACTATGAATAATAATTTCTTCTTTTTTTTAATAAAAATTCTTAAAAAATATATATTTTTATCTGTTGTTCACAATAGAATTTAAATATGTACGAGTACGAGTATACGAGTCGATCTCTCCCGGTCCAAAACCAATTCGTAACACAACAAGGAGACGCCACAAATTTACCTAGTGACCGCGAAAATTATTTGATTTTTTTCACAGCAAACGAAATGTTGAAATAATTTTTCCCCACATAACAGAAAATATATTTTCTTTGAGTGCATTTTCACGTTGAGAGCATTTTGTACTCACTCAAGAAGAATAGGCAGCAAACGACACGCGATGACAAACACACGCATTCATATCTTTGGTGGGGTTATAGATTGTGGGTTGGGGGAGGAGGTGGAGATGAATAGAGAGCTCGCCGATGATGCTCGTCGTTCTGTGCCATCAAATTTGTCATTTTATATTGGGCATTATGAGTGACAAAGACAATATATTAGGGTGGTTATATGAGAATTTTATTAGAAGTCTATATTTGCTCAAGTTTTATTTCAATGGATAAGTTTTGCTCCAAGTAATAGTTGTGATATATAGGATAACACAAAATGTTTTACGATTTAATTTTGGTCAGGGAGTCAAGCCATTTCATATCAGACTCTTACTACAGGTTTATTATAACTTCAGCCATATGACTAGAGAGTATACAGGGTAAGATGAAAACACAGAAACAAACAAAATCAACCCCATAATTTTTACATTTTTTATACCCTACACCACATAGTGGTAAGGGTATTATGTCTTTGTGCATTTGTTTGTAACATGGAGAAGGAAACGAGATAGACCCATAGTTACTTTTGAGAACCTTCATAGAATCACTTTCTGAGTCGATTTATGCATGTCAGTCCGTCCGTCCGTCCGTCTGTCCATGTATTCTTGTGAACAAAATGCAGGTCGCATTTATTATCCGATTGAGATGAAATTTTCCAAACAATATTTTTTTGGCCCAAGGACGAACCCTATTGAATTTGGTGAGAATCGGATCAAATTTAGATATAGCTCCCATATATATCTTCATCCGATTTCGGGTTAAATGTGCACCAAATGTCCACTATCAGTCCAAATTACCTGAATTTTGGCACACCCAACCGAGTTCGGCCTAAAAGCAAGTATATCAAATTTGGAGAAAATCGGTTCAGATATAGCTATAGCTCCCATATATATCTTTCATCCGATTTGATCTTGAAGTCCCTCACATTCCTACTACGCACTCCACAACCGTGATATTTGGTACCAGGTATTAGATGGAGCACAGAAATAGCTGTTTTAAATTTTATCGAAATCGGTTCAGATTTGGATATAGCTCCCATATATATCTTCATCCGATTTCGGGTTAATTGACCACCAAATGGCCAATATCAGCCCAAATGGCCCGAATTTTGGCATATGTGACCGAGATTAGCCTTAAAGCAAATACAACAAATTTGGAGAAAATCGGTTCAGAGACAGCTATAGCTCCCATATATATGTTTTATCCGATTTGGTGTTTAAGCCTCTCACATTCGTAATATGCACTCCACAAGAATGATATTTGGTACCAGATATAAGATACAGCCCAGAAATAGCTTTTTGTAATTTTATCGAAATCGGTTCAGATTTGGACATAGCTCCCATATATATCTTCATCCGATTTCGGGTTAAATGTGCACTAAATGGTCAATATCAGCCCAAATCACCTGAATTTTCGTACATAAGACCGAATTCAGTCTAGAAGCTAATACGTCAAATTTGGAGAAACCCGGTTCACAGATAGTTATAGTTCGTAAAATGCACGATAGAATTAGATAGATTTTGATTTTGTACCAAATATCTCATAGAGCTCTGAAATGCCCTGTATAAACCTTTTTACGAGAGCTGTACTAAATATGCATAGTGGTGTAGGGTATCATATAGTCGGCCCCGCCCGACTTTTGAGCTTTCCTTACTGGTTTAATTTTATTGAATGAAAGCAAAAATGTTGGAAATAGCATCAAACTTTAGAATGAGATAACATTTGTTCGAATTTGGCCTTCGTGCCAAAGGTGACCAATAATGAAGGTCATAACTTCAAACCGCCAATGAAACCGTCACACGCTACTCGGATGTTGCTCTGCAGTATTTTGTCCCATTCCCGACGAAGCGCTTCCTTTAGGTGATCGACACTTTGGTATTTTTAGTGCCAACCTTGCTTTCCAAGATACTCAAGACACAATAGCGTTGGTATCCGGAGATTTAGGTGGCCATTATGCGCTGGAAATGAAGCGAGGAACCTCTTTTTGTAATCATTCTTGGGTTACACGTGCTGATTAATACTAACGGAGGGCGACCATCAGCTGTTATGCCGGCCCACACCATCACCATGCCCGGCGCTTGAGTTCTGGTGGCCAACCGAAGGTGCACATTTTCAGCTGACCTCTTTGGCAAGTAAACACGATCATTTTGTTTATTTACAAACTGCAGGACATCGAATGTTTTCTCATCGGAGAAACCCAAATTCGGCAGTTCACCACTTTCGAGCAAGCGAAGCAACTCTTTAGCTCTTTTGTGTCTATTTTCTTTCTGGTGCGGTGTAAGTTCTTGTACTTTTTGGAGTTCAATGGCTTTACCCCGAGTTCATTTTTCAATATTTGCCGAATGAAATATTGCGATATGTTCAGCTCATGAGCCATTTTTCGGCCACTGCGACAAGGGTTTCGATCAAATCGCTTCTTTACTTTTCGAACCATTTCTGCTGATGTTGCTGTTTTCTTCCATCCACTTCCTTGACGTCGGGCTAGGCTACCAGTATCACGATAACGAGCGATGGTACGAGACACAAAAGATTTATTCACATTCAAATGCTGGAGTGCTCTAACGATAGCCACTTGTAGCTTTCCAGCCAAATATAAAGAAATCACAAAATCATCACTAATAACTTTTTTTTCTGGAAAGTTCTCACCAAAATGCTTTTGTACGCTTGCAAACAATTTAATGAGCTGTCACTCGAATAATTCGAACAGCTGTCGGACGAGTGGCTTAGAAATGTTAGCAGACTGAAATTGTTTATCATAAATTTGAATAAGGCTAGTCTTTGGGCCAAACAAATGATTTGTAAACAATTTAATCTCGATCGGAAATAAATGCGATTTGTACTTTGTTTACAAAAATACATGGACAGGCGGAGAAACGGACGGATATGCCTGCGTAACGATATCTTCTATATATTTATAAGAGTAATGAAATAACTGACTGACGGAGAATCAACGCCCAGACGAAACGGCTAAAGATATAATCTTCAAATTTTGCGCAAGGGTCATTTTGCACTTGGTGCGTAGTGATAAGGCTGGGTTTTTGGAAATTCGAACTAAAACGGTACGAAATGTACTATGAATCGAATACTTTCTATTGGACAAACGGAATGAGCTAAATTTCTGAAATTTGAAATAAGAGTCAGGATAGAAGTACCATAGAGTTTTTGGAAATTCGAACTTTAAGATTACCAGAAGTTATAAAATTATACTAAACTTCTAAAATGGTACGATTTGAACGGAACGATGTAAACGGATAGAACTAAAATCTTGAAATTTGGTATGAGAATCAAGATTGGGAAGTAAGACTGATATATGATGGTGCTTTGAAAAATGATTACTAGGTGTGCGAACGGTACTAAATGGTACTAAATTTAGCTCCGTTTGCTTAGGGTGAACAAATGTAGCTGAAATGTTAAAATTGTGTGTTAAGGTCCCTGTTAGTGGCAGGTTTGTAATAAAGATGCGTTTTGGAAATGTGTACTAAAAGTGCACGAAAAGTACGAAATAGTACTATATTTGCCACTATTTGGTATTGGGTGATCTTGGTGGGTATTGGTGGGATCTGAAATTTGGTTTTAGGGTCGATGAACGATGTATCTACGAAAATTATTATATTATACTAATATATATACTAAATTATATATTATACTAAACTTGGTATTTTGGGAAGGGAAGGGTTCCGGCATCCTCAAATTTCCTATTGAGGTTTTCTCTGTTGGTGATTTTGTTTAAGATATGATATTGGGTGTTGAAATAGGGCTGGAATCCTGGAATGTTATGCCGATGTCATTGTTTGTATCTGTAGCTAAGATATGGAGGTAGTTTTGCAAATACGTACTATAATCGTTACAAAAGTACTTGAAGATACTAATTTTGGATAACTAAAGGTGTTTAGGATTGAGGGAGCAAAATTATCTCATTTGGATATGCGTACTAAATCTTAATAAAATTTGTTATTGAGGTCACTGTTGGTTTCTAGGGCTTACATATGGATATGTTGAAATAGTCATGGACAGAAAAATTGGATGTGGGTCCATTGTGCAATGGTTTTACTTATGTCTTCCGCAATAAACTTTTGGATGAAAGATTTTGAAGACTTTTTAGTTTGCAAGATGAACATTTTCCTTTTATTCCTTCCGAAAAAGGAAAAAGTAAAGAAGCTGTAAGTTCGATCTGGCCTGCATATCCTCCACCATTTGCAACAAATTTAACAATTTTCCAAAAAATAAAATCCTTTAAAAATTCTGTTAAAATCTTAAAAATACCGAATGTAGTCGTTATATTAGGATCTATACAACGACGTGGACCTGCATAGGCTATTTTTGTCATAAGCCATTACAATATTCAAATGCGAAACTGAAAAAAAAACGGTGAATAATGTAGCTAAAATCATCAAAATACTGAATATAGGGAGGTACTATTATATGGGGTCTATATGAAGACATGGACATACACGGACAATTTTCGGTCATAGGCTTCATTATTCATTACGAACTTCAAATAACAAATTTGAAACAATTCCGGTGAATAATTTCGCTAAAATCATCAAAATGTCGAATATCAGGTGGTACCGTTATATGGGGGCTATACGAAAACGTGGTCCTGCACAGACAATTTTCCGTCTTAGGCTGTAGTATCCATGACGAACTTCAAATGCCAAACTTGAAATAATTCCGGTGAATAACGTTGCTAAAATCGCCAAAATAACGAAAATAGGGAGGTACCATTGTATGG